GATCAGCTCTAGGCATGACGAAGCGGATATTGTCCTCTTTTGGAAGGCTAAACAAAGTAGTTCGCTTTCACAACGAAACAGCGTCTCCACGGCATGGCGGCGGTGGCAACAATACTACAGCGAGAATAAAAGTTACGCCTTCTTTCTTTGCGTGAACATTTGGGCGGCGTTATGCAAATCTTCCCACATCGTGACGTAGACATGTTGGAACGAGCCGTTTTAGGTAGGCGTGGTTGACTCTTAACTTTTATAAAGAATATCTATTTGGATTTGAGACTTTAGTCTTTGCAACTTTACAGATCTTTTTTATGCACCAAGAGCTTGTAACCCTTCAAAGAGAAAGGAAAAATTGAAATCGCATCATATGACCCCTTTAAATATATATTTCATTTTGGATGTGATTAATCGTTGCCCAGCACTAAAAAAATATATGTATATATATTTATTGCTAATTATTGTAATGAATATGGATTAATCAGACATGCTCATTCATTTAACTTCACCAGGGGGTGTTTTCAGGGCTGTTTCAGAGAATTGTTTATGGCTCACTGTCTTCCACATAACATTGTGCCATTTCCCAGAACGGCCCAGCTACAAAGAGCATATATTCAGCTGTGAACACTCAGAAAGCAGCTTTTATGTTATAAGGAAATGACCTTCCAGGATATAGAGGATGCAGTTCTGTGTTCTCCCCAGAGCTGCTCTATCCTAATGTTATTCTGCCGTTTTCTATCGGTCTCTTTCAGCATTCGCTCTGTGGAGAAGGCCCGCACTGAGCTCATGCCCGAGATCGCTCAACTGCGAGCCAAAGCTCAAGAAGAACAGAAGAAACGAGAGAACCAGGATTCGCTTGTCCGTCGCCTGCAGAAGAGAGTCCTACTACTCACCAAGGTAAAAAAAAAGAAACGTATAAATAAACATTCAGTTACTCTCGTCAAAACAAAAGGATTCATACTTTGTAAACACTATACATTTCAGAACCGAACACTTTCTCCCCAGTGCAAAGTGGCTATTTCTCTCTAGAACAATAGATAGGTAAAACTCTTAAAAATTTTATAACGCATGTGTACTCATGATATCAACAACCAAGAAAGTATTGTATCTTTAAAACGTTTCATTAGGTAGAACAATCATTTTCAGTCCTGCTATGGTAATATGATGTGCCAAAGTAACATGTTAGAATGATTTCTGTTGGATGCGCAGAAACTTGAACCATCTAAATATACTTAAAGGGATAGTTCAGCAAAAAACTGAAAATTGTTATCATTTACTCACCTTCGTGTCATTCTAAACCCGTAAGACTTTTTTCATCATCTGTCCCTTCACTGCATGCAGCCAAAACACTTCAAAAAGTTCATAAGGACATCATAAAAAGAAATCCATATAAATGGAGCAGTTAACCAATGAGAATTGTTCTCATGCATCAATTAAGCACTCAGGCTAGGACGAGATTTAGATAAATCACTGGAGCAGTAGGCCTGTCGCAATAATCAATATATCGACTTATCGCGCAATATATGTACATGACCTCAATAAGTACATGACGCAATATATTGCTCCTTATTTTTCCTTAAACATTAATGTCATCATGTTTTGTACATTCCACTTGCGCCTGTGTCTTTTGCAGCTTCTCGTACATAACGTGTAGTCATGAGGTGCTAGTTCAAATTAAAAAAAAATGCTTCTACAAAAAAAAAGTTTCATCTGCAGATATGGCCTTGTTTAGGGATCTGTGCCTTTGTGCATACAGACATCTGACTGCTAAATAGAGATTGTGTTTTTCAGCAATACAGTGCACCCTTAATTTACAAAGAAAAGAAGGTCAGGAAAAAAATCTGTAGATGGAAAAATCTCCAGACAAGTTCTTTGTGCATTTTTCTTTTTTTTTGTACTTGTTACTTTGCATTTCTTGTTAGAAAATGTTTATTTAATATTTATTCAAGTTCTTTAAGGTATCTAATATTTTGATACTTAATTTCCATGATCTAAATATTCTTAAAATTTAAAAGTTTGTTGTCATTTAGAAGTGTGTAGGCCTTCTTGCATCATTATGCTGTTACATTATGATTATATATTCAGTGGCATAAAATGGTCTTTAAAATGACAATAATATCGCTTATCGCAATTATTTCTGGGGCAATATATCGCACAACAAAAAGTTGTTATCGTGACAGGCCTATGGAGCAGCGCCTTATTGTGTATGCGAATAATACTCTTGTTCTTTGTTTGTCAACAGCTTGGTAAACTGGTAATTAACAAAGGCTTCAATAAGCTCCTAAATAGGTGATATTTGATTTAATGAGGTCAATGTTTGAGTGTAATGATGCCCACACTGGAGACATTTAGAACATCCTCACCTCCAGCCGACCAGCCTGGAAGCTGCTCTAAACACACATGGACAATTAGAGCTGTCAGAGCAAGTAATTAAGAGTAAAGATAAGCTAGCAGGCTCATATGTTTCTCTATTATTCAGTAGTTATTTACGTTGGTGGTATGCTCAGTTAAATGCTTGTCCAGTTAACTCAAATTTTTGTATAAGCAGTAATAGCATTGCACAACTTTTCTACAAATCTAATTTCAAACAAAACAAATTTTAGACATGATTTTTTTCATAAATTTTATCCCAATGCAATTAATTGTATTTTAATCATTATCACGCTTTGTGCTTATCTCAGTTAATGAAGAGTAATAGTCTTCATTATTGGCCTACTGGTTATTTATCCTGAAAACTTTTTTTTTTTTTTTGACATTTGTTATCTTGCATTGCTAACAAGCTTTCATGTTTGGGGTTGCTAGATGTCAAGAGTTTAAATCCCCCAATCAGTCTTATCAATTTTCTTAAATCGGTATGTTTTCTGCCCAGTGTTTTACTTTATCTTTACTAAACTTGGCAACCATGTGCACACACATACACACACTGTTAAAAAAGTGCTGATGATATGAAAACAGAAAAATGTGTTATGTTGTAGTTTAGCAATCTCACTGTAATGTTTTGCTCAAAAAGGTGTAATGCAGTCAGTCTATGTTCCTTCACGAGGCCACTTGTGATATTTGCTGCAGTTAAATCTTAAAGCAAACCTTGTCAATAAATCCAACCATGACAAATATACAAAGTCTTTTTAATAGATATTTTAATGAAAAAAAACGTTAGGATAATTTGGAATTATTGGAATTAATATTAGGAGTTGAACTGTTTTAGCTTTTGAGAGCTACTTAAGGTTCTACCAGAAGAGACGGTTAATATGTAAGAGAAAATAATAAATCAGGAAACTAGATGAGGTGTAAACTCTGCATATGAGTTGACATTATATTGATTTGTGCTTACATGAATGTGCAATAATTCTGATGATATTTAAAAATATATTTCTCTCATGAGAATAATTTTGATTAAAAATCGCAATTTAAAGTTTTTGAGCACAATCTTGATTGTCTCATTAACAATTATCTTGCGGCAATAGTCAGTTCAGTAGTGTCTAAACTTTTGACTTGTTCTGTATATGATGATAAACCTCTTTACACGCGCAGAGTTTCATAGAACTAATAGAATTGACATGCTAGAATCTGGAGGCTGTTTGTCACTAGCCATTATTGACAACTTCAGCACTTCACGTGCTGCAAGACCAGGAAAATGCATCAGCTGTCTTTAGAGTATATTAGATTAACCGTTTTCTAGCTATGATTAAAAGCCATAATAAAAAGGTTTTATTGTAGCATTGACCCAAGTTATCCATTAAATGAAGATCCATAGGGGTGGAGAAAAAAAAACTGCAGTGCAGCACAGATTCGTTTCCTTACTCGCTCACCCACATAGATTCCCTCTCTGGCACAGAAACTCAGAGGCCGGTGCCAAAATAATAGAGTCCTAAATGAGAGTTTGCTATCTGTGGGACGAATGAGGTGAGTTTAAGATAACAGCAAGGGTGAATTTCATTACAATGGAAGCAGAAAAATAGCTTTGGAAGATGTGTGTGTGTGTGTGTGTGTGTGTGTGTGTGTGTGTGTGTTGAAGTATGTATGTGTGTGAATATACTGATATGTGCTAGTGTGTTGAACCCTTAGGTGGTATAACTCGTATTAAACCTGAACTGTTTTCATGACTTCAGGTAATAAAACGGATACATCTTTGACCTTTAAAAAGTAGTGCAGAGATAAGAATAAAATCTTCCTTCCTTACTTGCTTGCTTACAACTTGTAATAAGTATGTCTTATGTATTTCATTTATGGAGGTGAATCTTTGTGTAAACAGCGAATCAATTCACGATTCATAGTAGGGGTGCTCCGATTGATCGGCTTCCGATCACTATCGGCCGATAATCGCTTTGGGATGATTGATCGGCGGTCTCTAAAAAGGCCGATCTCAAAAAAACGATCTAAAGCTGATTACGAGCCTTCCGTGAGAGGTTTGGCATGACATGCAGCGGCGCCGTCTCGGTCTCTGTCCGGCGTGGGTGAAATAATTAAAATGCTGAAGGTGAGGTGCAATTCATATTTCTTCATTAAATAACTTCTAAAGTAATTTGAAAACTTTCTGTGAGACATAATTTCACAAACAGTGTGAGTGAATCACCGCTCGCTCTCTCTCTCTCAAAATACTCAAATGGCTTCAAATCACCACACATCACGTCTGTCTATAAGCGAGCTGCACGCAGAACAGTTGACAGGAATTTTCACTTGCACAATCGAGCCAGTGTTGTCACTAAAGTTTATAAATTGCATTTCTTTTTAATTCTTGCCAGTGTTAACCATTCAGCGCTCTCCTGGAGACTGTGCGCTCATGCAAACTGGCAGCGCGCACACATAACGCCAGGTTCACACATACTCCGTTCGCAGTGCGTAGGCCTATGTGGTGCGTATGTTTACCGCGCTCATGTTAACGGATTTTAAAGCGTTCACACTGCACGCGGTTGCGGTCCGGCAGTGCGTTCCATAAGCAGTCCGCAGCAGTGCAGCGATTGATTCCACACCTAGTTTGCTGCACGCGCTGAATTGAAGTGACAGCGCATGTTTTGAGGTAAATATGAAAACGAAAATGTAGTAATTACACCATAAATGCATATAATTAAAGTCTGCTGTGTTTCACAGTCAACACATATTGCTTTTTGGCTAGGTTTAAAGGAAAAGAGCACATTTAGATAAGGCAATAATAGATGGCATGGCACTCGTGGGGTTAGGAAAACAAAGTTCTTTATGGACAGGATTGCTTGTAATAAAGATTTAAATGCAAAAAAAAAAACGCAGCTGACTGTTTCTGGCAATGGTAAGTTTTTTTTATTTAGAATGTTTGTGATAATGTAAGAAAAGTATTTTAAATGTTTTGCCACTTGTTTGAGCAACTGTTTTGTGCTTTGTGTAAGCTATTGTGCAACAATTGCACGAGTGTAAAAACAAAAATGCACTGCATGATCGAACATTTAGGTGAGATAAATATATATTTATGAAAATGTCTAAAAAATGCTCCCCTCCACCCCTTAAATAAAAAAAAAAAATCCCCTCTCACAAGCTTCACCTATAAAAGGGAAATTCCCCCCATTTTCAAAAATGAAATTCAGGCCCTGAATAAATGTCTAAAATTCCTGATTGAAGTATTACTATAAATAATTCTACATAATAAAAATAAGGCTTTAAAAAGATCGGTATCGGTGATCGTATCGGCAGATACTGCTTTTTG